TGTGTGTGTGTGTGTGTGTGTGTGTGTGTGTGTGTATGTGTGTGTATATATGTGTGTGTGTATATAGATGTGTGTATATATATGTGTGTGTATATGTGTGTGTGTATATATAATTGTGTGTGTATATATATATGTGTGTGTATATATATGTGTGTATATATGTGTGTGTATATGTGTGTATATATGTGTGTGTATATATGTGTGTATATATATGTGTGTATATATGTGTGTATATATGTGTGTGTATATATGTGTGTGTATATATATGTGTGTGTCTATTGTGTATATATATGTGTGTGTCTATATATGTGTGTGTATATATGTGTGTGTATATATATGTGTGCATATGTGTGTGTATATATGTGTGTGTATATAAGTGTGTGCATATATGTGTGTGTATGTGTATATATATGTGTGTATATATGTGTGTGTGTATATATGTGTGTATATATGTGTGTGTATATATGTGTGTATATATGTGTGTGTATATATATGTGTGTATATATGTGTGTGTATATGTATGTGTATATATGTGTGTATATGTGTGTGTATATATGTGTGTGTATATATGTGTGTGTATATATGTGTGTGTATATATATGTGCGTGTATATATGTGTGTGTATATGTGTGTGTGTATATATATGTGTGTATATATATGTGTGTGTATATGTGTGTGTATATATATGTGTGTGTATATATGTGTGTATATATATATATGTGTGTGTGTGTATATATATATAAGTATATATATGGTTCACGGAGTTTACTTCCCTAAAGAACTCAGCCTAAGACAGCCTCCAAGGGCTACTTCCTATACAGCACGCTCCCACATGGAATTAGTAACCTGTGTAACTCATATGATATTGGGAAATGATGCTGTTTGACTAAGGCTGTGGAACCCTTTCAAACCTGACAAAGATTTCAGAGAAGTGCTCAAATGAGGCTCTAGAAACATAAAGGTATTGGTCTTCCACGGTCTCTGCAAAAGGTCAAGGTGTAGCAAGGCTTCCCTCAATGAGTGTGTACATCTGGCTTTAGTCGGAACACTGTATGATTCACACAACTTAAAGGAGTTTTAAAACCAATTACACTGGCAGAAACACTGCACTGTTGTTGTTAAGCGCCGTCAAGTCTATTCCGACCCATAGCGACCCTGAATAGGGTTTCCAGGGAGCAGCTGGTGAGCTTGAACCACTGACTTTGCAGTTCAAACAACTTTGCAGTCTGATGCATTAGCCCACAGCGCCACACCAACACTGCCTACTTTGTACTAAAAGGAATACCGTAAAAGATGAACAAAGGACCCTGAAGTCCCCAGATTCTACTGGTATCTCTGTAGTTGCAAACATGGGCTACCTTTCATAGAAAACAAAGGATGATTCAGAGGATGGAATTAGAGCCCAGAGGTCTGTCTACGGTGGCCACTATCTAACACAGTCACTTCAGGTCTCTGCATCACTTCCTCTCACATGGATGTGGACGTCTGTCACCTCATGGAATGGCAGTGGGTGACTCTTGAAGGAAATCCATGAGAATAAGCTTCCACTCTGGTCTGTTGAATGATGTGCTTTGGGAGAACATTAAAGCAGTCCTATACAGATGCTCACATAGTACGGAAGCAAGGGCAGTGGCCAGCAGTCACATGACAGAGCCATCCTGAAGAAGTCCTCCAGCTTTGGTCACTCAGGTAACTTTAGGCCTGGCAATATCATATAACCCTAACGAGACACCAAGCACTGAGGACGCAGCCAAGCCGTACCCACAGACAGTCCTGCATGGAAATTTCATGTACAGTCATTCCCAATTCCCAGGTGAGGAAACTGAGGTCGAGCGAGGCTTCTGTTACTTGGTGAAGGACACACAAAATACACACTTTTACTGTTAGGTGCTGTTGAGTTGGTTCCAAATCATGGCAACTCTGTATAGTGTTTCCAAGGAGTGGCTGATGCGTTTGAACCACCGACCTTGTGTGTAACAGTCTGATACTTATCCTATAGTATCACACTAGGACATAAACTACATATTTGAGGTTAAGACAGGCCTTCCTATGACGCCATGTTCAGCACTCTCCCCCAGATACCCAGGCTGTATTCAACAAAAACCTACTAAGCATCAAAGTCTACAGCTACTCAGAGTTTCCCACAATGCTCTACAACACTTGTTGTTGTTGTGTGAAGTCGAGTTGGTTCTGAGTCACAGGTACTCCGTATAGGGTTTCCAAGGAGCAGCTGGTGAGCTTGAACCACTGACCTTGTGGTTCAAACTGACCTGGCAGTCCAGTGCATTAACCCACAGCGTCACACCAGGACACTTTACAGCACTGGATCCTGCTATATCTTACCCAGTGCTCACCTCTTCAGAATCTTGGGGTGTGCCCACATTCATTCCTACACCACAGGGTGAGTCTTCCTCAGCTGTCAGCGTTGTGGCCAGACAATGCACCACTGATCACAACATTCCTCTTTGGGGATTGTCTTCAGAGAGCTGAAATGAATCTTCCCAGATTAAATATGCACTGTATCAATTTAGAATTCCACCTCAGTTTTTGATGAAAAGGCAACAGATGTAGCCGGATCCATGTCCTTTAATCATGAGATTCTGTCCTAAACTTCACTCTGTCCTGAGGCCAAAAGCTTTGGCAACACTGAGTCAGTCTATTGAAATGCCCAGGCCCTGACCGCAGGCGCTGCCGGCTTGCTACAAAGGCATTTCAGTAGCCCTGGAGGAGAACACTTCAGGTGTGCAACAATGCTATGAAGGAGAACAATGGCTTCTGTGTGTTACCTGGTACTTTGGATGCTTTGTCTAATTTAATCCTCACAGGAATTCAGTGAGGTAGAGGGTTCAGGATCTTGTGTTTAAACATCAAACAGGACCATCCTGTCAAGGACATAATGACCCTTACATTAAAGTGCAGAAGCCATACCAAACACTGACGCTTGGAACAGCAGAAAAAACAAAACAAAAAAAACCCCAGCTTTCTCTGCAAATGCCACTACCTTCCTTCAAGGGTGGGTCAGTTCGGATTCTGGTCCAATCTGGTGTGTTCTGGAATTTTCCAAGCCTATTAGTGTTAGGCTACACAGCTCTGTGCCAGTAGGATTTTTTGCACATTGTAAGTAAGCACTTGGACTCCTGGTGTGGTGCTATGGGTTCAGTACTAGCCTGTTAATCACAAGGCCGGCCCCAGCTGTTCCTTGGAAATCCTAGGCAGGGTTGCTATGAGTTGAAACAGCACTTAACACCACCAAGTGCACACAGTCTGGAAGAGTGTGGGGGGTCTCTGAAGATTTCAACGGAGACATTTCCACCCTATGCCTGGCTCTCGGGGGTATCCAGTGTACCCTTGAAAACATAAAACCATACAAACAAACACTTCACACTTGCCTTTGCTTTGTTTGAGATCAATGTTGTTGTTAAGTGCTGTTGAGTCCAACGCATGGCGACCCTGTGTAGGGTTTCCAAGGAGCCTCTGGTGAACCACCGACCTTGCAGTTCGAACGACTTTGCAGTCTGACGCATTAGCCCACAGCACCACACCAGGACTCGTGTTGTTGTTGTTGTTGTTAAGTACCGTGGAGTCGATTCCGACTCATAGTGACCCTGCACAGGGTTTCCGAGGCTACAAATCTTTACGGGAACAGAATGGCTCATCTTTCTTCCACAAAACAGCTGGTAGTTACGAACTGCCGACATTGGGGTTAGCAGCCTGATTCATAACCACTAAGCTTGCTAACCAGAGCTCCTTAGGACTCGTGTTAGGAGATGAAAAAAGATTTCATCCAAGAATCTATGCTTAAGCAGCGATGTTGTTGTTGTTGTTGTTGTTGTTGTGTGCTGTGGAGTCAGTTCTGACTCACAGAGACCCTGAACAGGGTTTCCAAGGTTGTAAATCTTTACGGGAGCAGAATGCCTCATTTTTCTCCCGCAGAGCAGCTGGTAGTTTCGAACGGCCGACCTTTAGGTTAGTAGCTCGATTCATAGCAGCAACAAGAAGAGTCAAAATGTGGCACCAGATACCATGTTACAAGACTTAAAACCCTGTTTGTTATTCTTGAAACCATCTTGGGAATTATGACCAACAACCTGCGTTGAGCTTGTCCTTCAGACAGACAGACCCACAGGTGAATGTACCCATACGAGAGAGGCTGTGACCACGAGGAAGACCACTAGCTCATCCCACATAAGACACTGCTCATTACGACTCTGGAGACGTCGGCCGTGACCATGGGCCTTAAACCACTCCACGACTTCCTGAAGGTCAAACTCCTGGGCCTCGTAGCCCAGCTCTCTCCGGGCCTTCTCCAGGCTGAAGTAATGTGTGACGCCCATCATGTAAACTTCAGTGCAGGTGAGGAAGGGCTGGAAGTTGTACAGACCCAGCACGGCGTGCACCATCTCTGTCAGGAAAGCCAGGCCGTACATGAGGGTCAGTGGCAGGCAGATGGAGGGGAATGTGTAGCCCAGGCCCTCAACCAAAGGCTGGCAGAACTCGAAGTTGTTCACGGGTCTGCCATCTGAGATGAAGTAGGGTTGGCCCGAGGCGACGTGGCCCTATTCCTCTCTCAGGGCCTTGGAAGCCAGGATGTGAGCCTGGACCAGGTTGTCCACATGGACAAATTCCACCAGGCTGCTGGGCTCGCCGTACACAAACCTGAACAGCCCCCTCTCCAGGTAGCTCACGATCCTGGGTAGATGCCGTTGTTCTCCGGGACCATAGATGCCAGTGGGTCTCAGGGCACAGGTCCTCAGGATGCCTCCGCTGCCTCCCAGGGCTGTACCGTTTGCCTCCAACACCTTCTTCTCAGCGATGGCTTTGGTCTGCGAGTAGTGGTCTGGGTGCAGGTGAAGAGGCAGGTACGCCAGAGACTCGTCTCCGTCTCGGATGACTTGCCCTGCAAACACCACGTTGAAAGTGCTGGTGTACACCACCCTGGGAACCCCTCTTCTCCGGTAGACCAGCAGGATGGTGTCCGTGCCCTCAACGTTGACTACTTCTATTAGGCTCTGGTCCAACTGCTCCCACCCTGATATGCCGTAAGAGGCGATGTGAAATACACAGCTGATGGCCGCACCCAGGAAGGCTTTCTCCACATCACCAAGGTGGCGGATGTCTCTGTGGACAAACCTGATTCCTTCCGGAATGGTCTCAGCCAGGCTGTGGATGTCAATCAGAATCACGTGGACTCCCTTCTGGTTCAAAGCGCAGCCAAGGCTGAAAGCTAGGTGAAATCTATGCTTCAACTCTGATACCAAGTCTTCTCTGCTGGTCCCCAGTTCCTCCCTGATACGCTCATTTTGTCAGTCTTATGAAATCTGTGCAGACAAAAGTGAATGTGCCATGGAGAGCCACAAGGACACAAATCTGTCTTGGAACAAGTACAACCAGGATGCTGAGAGCAGCCAGGATGACGAGACTTCATCTCCTGGACTTTGGACGCTTTATCAGGAGGGACAAGTCCCTGAAGAAGGGCATGCTATCGGTAAAGTGGTGGGTGAGTGAAAATGAAGAAGACCCTCAACGAGATGGAATGACACAGTGGCTTCCACAATGGGATCAAGTACAGCAATGCTGTGAGGATGGTGTGTTTCATTCTGCTCTGCATGGCGCTGCTATGAGTCAGGACTGCGACAACATGTAACTTGTAATTCAAATATTAAAAACATGGGACTGTTCCCATCTTCTTAAATTATAGCTATTGGTATTGTTGTTAAGTGCCATGCAGTTTCAATCCACAGAGACCCTGTACAGAGGGTTTCTAAGGAGCAGCTGGTGAGCCTGAACCACTGACCTTGCGTTTCAAACTGGCTTTGCAGTCTGGAGCATTAACCCACAGCACCACGTGCGTTTAATTTGGGGGGTTTGGTCTGTTTTTGTAGTTAAAGCCTCTCTAGGGTCGACTCCAACTCACAGCAACACTATTTAGGGTTTCGAGATGCCAATCTTCATGGCAGCACACAGCTTCCTCTTTCTCCCATGGAGCAGCTGGTGGGTTTGAACTGCTGACTTTGTGGTTAGCAGCTCAATGCCTAACCCAAAGTACCACCAGGACTCCCCTTCAAAGACAGGTTGAGATATTACTTGTTTTTCTCTGCTCCAGGAGCACATTGTTGTTGTTGTTGTTGTTACGTGCCGTCGAGTCGGTTCCGACCCATAGCGACCCTGTACAGGGTTTCCGAGGGTGTAAATCCTTACGGGAGTAGAAAGCCTCATCTTTCTCCCGCGAGCACATTACTGACGCTGAAATACGTACGCATAACAGAACTACGGAAGAACTTCTAGTATTGTAAATTGGTTTCAGTGATGTGAGTAATCACTCCCCAGCCTAACTTAATGGCTTTATAAGGAATTTTCCTCAGCACAGAAGATGTAGTTCTCAATATCGATGTCCAAGTGGTATGTGACCTGGTTTATTTCTGGCTTATCACTGCACAAACAAATGAACGTCTGGGTTGTGTTCATATCTGAGTTGAAAGCCATACGTCTCCCAACAACTCTCAGGTAAACAACAACACAACAAAACTCCATGGGAATATTTTTTTAGAGGCACTTACCGGAAACCAACATAGCCCCCTCCTCCTGTAACAAGGATGGTTTCCTTTGGAGACTTTTCGGAGTCCATTTGTGAAGGTCAAAAGCTAGAAGTGGATCTATGACAAAGAGATACAGAACACCATCACAGAGTTCTGATGCTGTAAGAGAAACACTGGACCAGAGAGTCGGTTTGAACCACAAGGTTGGCAGTTTGAACTCACCAGTCACTATTTGGAAACCCTATACAGGGTCAGAACTGATTCAATGGCACTTAACAACCACATACCTCACTAGGGTTGTTGCTCCCCTATATATCTACCAACTAACTACTTGGTTGGAAATTGGACCATGGGGTGAATTCCATTCCAGACCTGAAGTATGGTCGAGGACCCCAGTCTTAGGTTCCTCTAGTCTCTTTCTGACTAGTAAACCCCGTCTTTTTTTTTTTTATAATTTTGAGTTTTGTTCCATACTTTCTCCCACTCTGTCTGGGACAGTCTAATGTGAGTCCCTGCCTCTTTACTTTCTTGACACTCAAATGTCCTCACAGGGAATATATGACAATGTCAGATAAGCACTGGACTACTAACTGCAAGGTTGCTGGTTTAAACCTGTCAGCCACTCCTTGGAACCCCTACACAGTGTGTTATGAGTTGGAACTGACTTGATGGCACTTAACAACAACATCAATGGGAGGGCACTTAAGTCTGACCTGCCCACCTGACAAGGTCATTGTGAAGGTCCAGTAAGATGATGGAGCCAGGAATACTTTGGAAGACACTACATACTTAGCCAGTGTAAAGACTTATTGTTAATTATTGGGGAAAATGAGAGTCTTTCAGAAAAGAATCCAAATTTAGTAGAAAAAGGGATCTCCACCTTTACCTCAACTCCCAATCAATGACACAAGTCTAAAGCACATCACCAACATCTTTTGTGTAAAATAGGGCACCAAAGTATGACTTAATACTAACCTTAGACTTAAAAAAACAGGTGGGGATGTGGGTGGAGGGACTCTTCTATGTAGCAAACCACAATTCCCTTCTAGGAAGTCTTGCAAGTACCTTCAAGTTCAAGTGCTCAATGCTCAGCTCTTTCTACTCTTGTTAGGAGCCCTCATCTCTATAACGGCTCATATCAAGAATATGCACAGCAGAAGAAAACAGTCAGATCCTGGGCCAACCTCACAATCGTTGCTACTGCTGCTGCCACTGTGACAATCCATTTCACTATGGGGTCTTCCTCTTCTTCTCTGACCCACCACCTTACCTAACATGATATTCTTCTCCAGTGACTGGTCCCACCTGATATGTCAAAAGTATGAGACAAAGTTTGGCCATCCTGGCCTCCAGGGGGCGCTCTGG